AGGAGAGGCTTAGGAACCTCCAGGACATCTTTAAACATTCCAATATTCAAATTATAGGAGTACCAGAAGGGGAAGAGGAACAGTCACAAATGGAAACCTTATTTGAACAAATAAAGAAAGAGAACTTCCCCATTCTGGCAAAGGAAATAGACTTCCAGGAAATTCAGGAAGCTCAGAGAGTCCCAAAGAAGTTGGACCCAAGAAGGAACACACCAAGGCACATCATCATTACCTTAGCCAAGATGAAAATGAAGGAGAGAATCCTAGAAGCAGCAAGAGATAAGGGGACAGTCACCTACAAAGGAGTCCCCATCAGACTGTCATCAGATTTCTCAAAAGAGACCTTACAGGCAAGAAGGGGCTTGAAAGAGGTATTCCAAGTGATGAAATCCAAAGACCTACAACCAAGATTGATCTATCCAGCAAAGCTTTCATTTAGAATGGAAGGACAGATAAAGTGCTTCTCAGATAAGACCAAATTCAAGGAGTTCATCATCACCAAGCCCTTATTATATGAAATGTTAAAGGGACTTACCTAAGAAAAAGAAGATAAAAAAGATGAACAGTGAAAGGACAGCAAACTCACAGTTATCAACAACCACACCTAAAACAAAAGCAAATTAAGAGGACAGCTAGACCAGGAGTGAACCATAGAAATGAAACCAGGAGTGAACCATAGAAATGAAAATCACGTGGAGAATTAGCAACAGGGGAGTGGGAGAAGGAGAAGGGGAGAGAAGGTACAGAAAATAAGTAGCATAGACAGTAGATAGAAAATAGATAGGGGGAGGGTAAGAATAGTAGGGGAAATACAGAATCTAAAGAACTTGAGACATGTGTTCATGAACTAAAGGGGGGGATGGTGGGGGAGGGGTGTGCAGGGTGGAGGGGAACAGAGGAGGGGAATAGAACAAATGTAATGGCATAATCAGTAAAAAAGAGAACATTCAAAAAATCCCATTTGATATAGCAAAAATACCTAGGAATAAACCTAACCAAGGAGGTAAAGAAAACCTTTATGCAGAAAACTACACAACACCACAGAAAGAAATCAAGGAAGACATAAACAAATTGAAACATATACCGTGTTCATGGATTGGAAGAATTAATATCATCAAAGTGTCCATACTACCCAAAGCAATTTACAGATTCAATGCAATACCTATTAAAGTGCCAATGGCATATTTCACAAACATAAAACAAACAATTCAAAAATTTATATGGAACCATAAATGACCCCAAATAGCAGCTGCGATTTTCAGAAAGAAGAGCAAAGTAGGAGGGATCACAATACCTGATACCAAATAGTATTACAAGGTCACTGTAATCAAAACAGCCTGGTACTGGCATAAAAACAGACAGATAAATCAATGAGACAGAACAGAAATCTCATACATAATCCCAAACCTCTATAATCAATTAATATTTGACAAAATGGGCAGCAAAATAAAATGGAGTAAAAATAGTCTGTTCAACAAATGGTGTTTGGTGAGCTGGACAGCTACATGCAAAAAATGAAACTCGAGCACCAACTTACACCATACATGAAAAGAAACTTCATGTGGATAAAAGGTTTAAATATAAGTCATGACACTATTATAGTCCTAGAGGAGAACACAGTTGGGAAAATCTCAGATATTTCACACAGCAATATTTTCACTGATATGTCCCCTAGAGCAAGGACATAAAGGAAGTAATAAACAAATGGGATCTCATCAAAATTAAAAGCTTTTGCATGGCTAAAGAAAACAATATTAAAATAAAAAGAAAACCAACTGTATGTGAAGATATTTGCCAATGATACCTCAGACAAGGGTTTAGTCTCTATAATATTAAAGAACTCACATGACTCTACTATATGAAAACAAGCAACCCAATTAAAAAATGGGCAAAGGACTTGAACAGATACTTCTCCAAGGAGGACATACAGAGAGTCCAGAGACACATGAAAAGATGCTCAATATCACTAGCTATCAGAGAGATGCAAATTAAAACCACAGTGAGATACCACTTCACACCAGTCGGAATGGCCATCATAAACAAAGCAACAAACAAGAAGTGTTGAACAGGTTGTGGAGAAAAGGGAATCCTAGTGCACTTTGGTAAGATTGCAGACTGGCACAACCACTATGGAAACCAGTGTGGAATTTTCTAAGAAAACTTAAAATGGATCTGCCTTTTGACCCAGCAATTTCGCTGCTAGGATTACATCCTAAGAACCCTGAAACACCAATTGAAAAGAACCTATGCACTCCAATGTTCATCGCAGCACAATTTATAATAGCCAAGTACTGGAAGCAACCTAGGTGCCCTTCAGTAAATGAATGGATCAAAAAACTATAGTACGTTTGCACAGTGGAATTCTATGCAACAGAAGGAAAGAAGGAGCTCCTACCTTTTGCAGTAGCATGGATGGAGCTGGAAAGCCTTATGCTAAATGAAATAAGCCAGGTGTTGAAAGACAAATGCCACATGATCTCACCATTAACAGGAACCTAATCAACAAAACAAACAAACAAGTGAAATATAACCAGACACCTAAATTGAGAACAGGCTGGCAGTGACCTAAATGGAGAGAGGAGGGAATTTCAGGAGAAATGTGTGTATGGTTTTGTAGTAACAAGTATAAAGGACATATGGACAATAACCGCAGGGGGGTGGTTTGGAAATGGAAGGGAGATGGGGAGGGCTGGGGGGTGGCATGGGATTGGGGTAAAAGGCAGAAAACTGTACTTGAACAAAAATTAAAATTTTAAAAATGTAAAATGGTTAATTCCAACAAGTACTTCTCACAATTAGATGAACTGAGTGGAAAGCAGCACTCAGTGGAAAGTGTCCAGAATTAGTCAACAGAAAGTGGATAATCTTCCATCAGGATAACAGAAGATCACATGTTTCTTTGAAGACTTAGGAAATTCTAATTCATCTTCCATATTCACTCAGCATTTTGCCTTTGGATTTTCTTTTTTTTTTTGGGGGGGGGGTTAAATTCTTTTAGTTGAAAAAATTCAATTGCCTGAAAAGCTGCAAAAGGAACAGTTCTTTGTTCAAGATTTTTGAAAGTTGTTTTTTTAACCAAATACACTGAAATAGAGAATAGGCTGACAGTGACCAGAGGGGAGAGAGGAGGGGACTTGAGGGGAAAAGAGGAATGGTTTACAGGAGCATGTATAAAGGACACATGGACAAAAACTAGGGGGTTGGAAATGTAAGGGAGGTGGGAAGGACTCAGGGGGTGGGCTGGGATGGGAGTAAAAGACAGAAAACTATACTTGAATAACAATTAAAATTAAAAAATTAAAAATGATTTTATAAAATTGTGAAAATGGAATTATGAATTTGCCTGAAAGATGACAGAAGGTAGTGGAACAAAACTTGAATATATTATCCAATTAAGTTTTTGGTAAAAATGAAAAATGTATCTTTTATTTTTACTAAAAACCAAATGAACATTTTAGCCAACCCAATAGCTTCTTTTATCTGCCTTCCTTTGCCTTCCAACTTACACTGTCAGTGGTAGTCTCTGGCCTACCTCAGTGTAGATTCATCTGGGGACACTATCATTCATGGGCCAGCTACTTTTCATGCTGGCAGGGAATTTTTTTCCCACACCCTGTAGGATTGTCGCCCTTATCACCGCATTTCTTGTTTGATGCAACACATTTCTAGCTGTCATCTCTCCAAAACCAGTTTCTAACCCCTCTGAGCTACTTACCTTCACTCTGCTAAACTACTCTTCTGAAACATTATCATTCCACTGATGATTATTTTCATCATCCTTACTTTCCCATGAAACAAGCTCCTTATTATTTATAGAATAGGTCTTTGGCAGGAATTTTTAGTCTGAAAACCCTTCCGTCATGGAAAATATTACAGAGAAACACAATCAATACAAGGAAGAAAGAGCAAGGAGGTTGCTATCTCAGCCTAAGTCATCCCCCAAACCACTCAATACACCCAGACATAAGAAGACTTTGTGGTACCTCTGGGCTATTCTTGGCCTGGTAGGAAAAAACTGACTTAAGGTATCATCAAGTCAAAATGTCTTTGCCTGGGTATTAAGGGTCTCTAAGGCTCCCAGCAAGTTCCCTTTTTGTCCTCCAGACTAGTTAGCTTATTATTTCCTCCCTATTTCTTACTCATTCTTGTTATTCTTTATTTCCCCTGACATAAATGTCCTCTTCCCCTACACTATTATAAAACCTTTGCATATTTAACTCACACCTTATGTCTTTTTTTATTGTTATTCAATTACAATTGTCACCTTCTTTTTAATGAAGATTTCCCCGCTTCTACCCATTCCCAGATTGATCTATCCCATCATTGCTGCTGAATTTGCAGTCAGCAGCAAATTATTTATCTTAAGTAATTGATACAAGCTTAGTCTCCCAGCCGTAGTGTAAGTGGGGTCCAATACTTTTTTCATGGGTCCAATTCATCTCAGCCCATGGTTGGCCCAAGAGCAGCTGCTCCAGGGGTATCGATGGCTGCCGTAGAGTCCAGCATCTTCTATTCACCAAGATTGTCCTTTATATCCAGCCTTACTTAAGTCCTGGACTCTTCCACTGTATGTATCAGCAAGAGCTGACATCAGAAAAAAAAAAGAAATACAATAAAATACTGTACACATGGAGGGGTTTGTCCCTTTTGGATTCCAAAGATCTCTACTAAGTCTAGTCACTTCTTCTCTACATTTATATGAAACTGAAAATAACTGGTGGAGTCCCAGTTATTTAGAGAGCAAACACTACTAAGGACATCCCTCAGAACATATACTTTTTAAAAAATAAAACAGCTAATTTATAAACCTGCTTTTGTTTTAAAAATTGACCCAGTGCACAAATGGTTTTAGATTTACATACAGACCATTATTAGAGAATCAGCAAATACAAGCAGCTGTTCAGTTCTTATCACACCCGATGTGTATTTCATCTCTCTCTTCCTTCCCTTCTTCCCCCTTTCTCTACTTTCTTTCTTTCTCTCTCTTTTGCTTCATTCAGGTTATCATGATGGGCATCTTGTGATCCGATGGTTCTGGGTTGCAGTGGAACATTTCAATAATGAGCAGAGATTAAGATTACTTCAGTTTGTCACAGGAACATCCAGTGTGCCCTACGAAGGCTTTGCAGCCCTTCGAGGAAGCAATGGGCTGCGGCGTTTCTGCATAGAAAAATGGGGGAAAATTACATCTCTACCCAGGTATGAAGATTTTGCCATACTTTAGGAAACCCACTGAAGAAAGCAAAGTCTGCTTTGCTATTTCGGCTTGGGTGTTCATCCTTTGGCATAGACTTCTTTTCTGGCACACAAAGTATTGTCATATGAGTTATTGGTGAAAAGTACAGTTAAGAAGTCTCTGAAAAGTGAGTTTAGACCATATTCTTTTTTATTGTTGTTGTATACTTGTTACCATTGTTACACCACCACAGCTCCCCGCCACACCCATCCCTGCCTCCCACCCTCAAACCTACCCACTTTGGCTTTGTCCGTGTGTACTTTATACATGCTCCTTAATTCCCCTCTTCCCCTAATATTCCTTTCTCCCCTTGTTTGGTAACTGTCAGTTTGTTCTTTATCTCAATGCCACCGGTTATATTTTGCTTGCCTGTTTGGTTTGTTGATTAGGTTCCACTTATAGGTGAGATCATACTGTACTTCTATTTTACTACCTGACTTATTACACTAAGATAATGTTCTCCAGTTCCATCCACGCTATTATGAAAGGAATTACTTCTTTCTTTCTGCTGCATAGTATTTCACTGTGTAAATGTACAACGGTTTTTTGATCCACTCACTTACTGATGGGTATTTAAGGCTGTTTCCAGTACTTGGCTCTTGCAGATAATACTGACATTAACAATGAGGTGCAAAGCCCTGGCTGGTGTAGCTCAGTGGATTGAGCACAGGCCTGCAAACCAGAGGATCGCAGTTTGATTCTCAGTCAGGGCATATTCCTGGGTTGCAGACCGGTTTCGTGCAGGCCAGTTCCCATCAGGGGATGCACGAAAGGCAACCATACATTGATGTTTCTCTCCCTCTCTCCTTCCCCTCTAAAGATAGATAAATAAATAAATAAATAAATAAATAAATAAATAAATAAATAAATCTTTTAAAAAGAGAGAGAAAAAAACATTGGGGTGCATAGGTTCTTTTGAATTGGTGATTCAGGATTCTTACGGTATAGTCCCAGGAGTGGGATCACTGAATCAAAAGTCAGTTCAACCTTCAGATTTTTTAGGAAAATTTATGCTGTTATTTGCAGTAGCTGCACCAGTCTGCATTCCTACCAACAGTGGACTAGGGTTCCTGTTTCTCAACAACCTCACTAGCACATGTTGTTTGTTGACTGATTAATGATGGCCATTCTGACCCATGTGATGCAGTATCTCATTTGCTTTTAATTTGCATCTCTCTAATAGTAATGTTGCATAATTTTTTCATGAGTTTATGGGCCCTCTATTTGTCTTCCTTGGAGAAGTGTCTGTTCAGATCCTTTGCCCATTTTTTTTAATTAAATATTTTGTTTTCCTGGAGTGGAATCATGTCAGTTCTTTATGTATTTTGGAGATCAATGATACCTTATTCAAGGTATCATTGGTAAATGTGTTTTCCCATACAGTTGGTTTTCTTTCCATTCTGTTGATGTTTTCTTTAGCCATGCAGAAGCTTTTTTAAAAGATTTTATTTATTTATTTTTTAGAGGGAGGGAAAGTGAGGGAGAAAGAGAGGGAGAGAAACATCAATGTGTGGTTGCCTCTCACCCGGCTCCCACCGGGGACCTGGTCTGCAACCCAGGTATATGCCCTGACTGGGAATTAAACCAGTGACTCTTCGGTTGCCAGCCCAAACTCACTGCACTGAGCTACACCAGCCAGGGTAGCCATGCAAAAGCTTTTGATTATTCTTTCCTATATATCCCTAACCCTAGGGGGATGAATCCATAAAGATATTGTTGCATGGGATATCTAAAATTTTTCTGCCCATATTTTTCTCTAGGACTTTTATGATGTCATGAGTTACATTTAAGTCTTTTATCCATCTTGAGTTTATTTTCATGTAATGTGTAAGTTGATGATTAAATTTCATTTTTTTCAGGTACTCTTCCAGATCTCTCAACACCATTTATTGAAGAGGCTATTTTTACTTTATTTTATGCCCCTCACCCCTTGTGTCAAATATTAACTAATGTATTTATATGCATTTATTTCAGGACTTTCTGTTCTGTTCTATTGGTCTATGTGTCTGTTCTTACACCAGTACCAGACTGTTTTGATTAAAGGGACCTTGTAATATAGTTTGATACCAGGTATTGTGATCCCTCCTACTTTGTTCCTGTTTCTTAAAATTGCTGAGGCTATTCAGGGTCATTTATGATTCCATATAAATTTTTGAAATATTTGTTCCATATTTGTGAAATATGTCATTGGTATTTTAATAAAAATTGCATTGGATCTATGATAGCTTTAGGTAGTATGGATATTTTAATGATGTTAATTCTTTCAATCCATGAACATGGTATGTGCTTCCATTTATTTGTGTCTTCCTTAATTTCTTTCTATAGTGTAGTGTAGTTTTCTGAGTAAAAGTCTTTTACCACTTCAGTTAAGTTTATTCCTAAGTTTTTTATTTTTGTTGTTGATATGGTAAATGGGATTTTTTCCCTGAATTCTGATTCTGTCTTTCACTGTTTGCGTACAAAAATGCCTTTGATTTCTGAATGTTGGCAGTGTATCCTGCCATTTTGCCAAATTCATTTATTTGGTTGAGTAGTTTTCTGTTGGTGCCTATAGGGTTTTCTATATACACCATCATGTCATCTATAAACAGTGACAACTTTACTTCATCCTCTTCAATTTGGATGGCTTTTATTTCTTTTCCTTGTCTGATTGCTGTGCCTAAAACTTCCAATACTATTTTGGAGAGAAGTGGTAAAAATGGACACCGTTTACTTGTGCCTGATCTTAGGGGGTAAGATTTTAGATTTTGCCCATTGAGTATGTTGTTGGCTCTGTGTTTCTCATATATGGCCTTTATTATATTGAGGTATGTTCCCTGTTTCCACTTTGTGAGTACTTTTATCATAAATGGATGCTATACTTTATCAAATGCTTTTTCATTATCCATAGGTATGATGATGTGGTGCTTGTCTTTCATATCATTTATGTGGTGCATTACATGTATTGATTTGTGTATATTGTACCATACTTTCATCTGTGGGATGAATCACACTTGATTATGGTATATGATTTTTTTAATGTACGGTTGCATCTGGTTTCTGATATTTTGTTGAGCATTTTAGCATCTATACTCATCAGCAGTATTGGTTTATTGGTTGGCTTTCTTTGTCATGTCTTTTTCTGGTTTTGGAATTGGTAATACTGGCCTCATAAAAAAAGTTTGGGAGTCTTCCATCCTCATGGAATTTGTGGAATAGTTTAAGAAGAATTGGAGTTAGCTCTTCTCTAAATGTTTGGTAAAATTTTCCTGTGAATCCATCCCACCCAGGGCTTTTGTGTGCCAGGAGTCTTTCTTTATTATTATTATTGCTTCAATTTCACTAGCTAATGTTTCTCTATTCACACTTTCTGCTTCTTCTTGACTCAGTTTTGGTGCACTGTGTGTTTTTAGAATTTTGTCCATTTCTCCCAGGTTTTCTAATTTGTTGGCATATAGTTGTTTGTAGTAATTTATTACAATCCTTTGTATTTTTAGGTATTGGTTGTAATTTGGCCTCTTTCATTTCTGATTTTATTTTTTGAGTCCTCTCTCTTTTTTTCTTCAAAAGGTTCTCATTTTGTTTACCTTTTCAGGGACCCAGCTCCTGGATTTATTCTTCCTCTGGATTGTGCTTTTAGTCTTCATGTTATTTAATTCTGCTCTGATGTTGATTATTTCCTTCTTCCTACTCACTCTGGGCTCTGTTGTTGTTCATCTAGTTTTTGTAAATGTAGGATTAGGGCATTTATTTGAAATTTTTTGATTTTTTAAAAAATTTTGCCTGTATTGCTATGAAATTTCCACTCATGACAGCCTTTGCTTTGTCTTATAGGTTTTGGATTGTTGTGTGCTCATTTTTATTTGTTTCCAGAAACTTTTTGAATTCTTCCTTGATCTTATTGTTGATCCATTCATTGTTTAATAACATATTATTCAGTCTCCAAATAATTGACTGTTTTAGAATTTTTCTTTCAGGTTGGTTTTTAGTTTCAAGCCAAACTGTTTTTGAAAATGTTCCATGTGCATTTGAAAAAAGGTATATTTTGCTTCTTTGGTGAGAAAATTTCTGTATATATCTCTTAACTTCATTTGATATAGTGTGTCAATCAGTGCCACAATGTCCTTTTTCATTCTTTGTTTGGAATATCTGTCAATTGTTGATAGTGGGGTGTTAAAATCTCCTACTATGAGCGTGTTGCTATCAATGTCTTTCTTGAATTCTTTCAAGGTTTTCCTTATATATTTGGGTGCTTCTATGTTGGATGTATATATATATACAATGTTTATAGCTTCCTGATGCATTCCTTCCTTTAGAATTATGAAATGACTTTCTTTGTCTCTTTGGGTTTTCTTTTGAAATTTATTTTGTCTGATATTTTTGCCACTCTGGCTTTGTTTTCCTGTCCATTTATGTGAAATATTTTTTCCCAACACTTCACTTTCATTCTGTGTAGGTGTTTTTTTCAAGGTTGGTCTCCTGTAGACAACATGTATGGGGTCATGTTTTCTTATTCATCCAGCTACCCTATATCTTTGGAGCATTTAATCCATTTACATTTGATGTTACTACTGAAAGGTGTTTATTCATTGTCATTTTTTCCTTTTGCACCTGTGTTCCTTTCTCTCTCACTCTATACCTTCCTCTTCTAAAAGTAGTCCCTTTAGCATGTCTTCAATGCTAGTTTGGTGAAGGTATATTCTTTAGCCTTCCTTTATCTGTGAAACTCCTTATTTTGCCTTCCATTTTAAAGGAGATCCTCACTGGGTAGATTAGCCTTGGTTGTAGGCCTTTGCTTTTCATTTCTTGGAATATTTATCATCATTTCCTTCTGGCTTGTAGTGTTTCTGCTACCTTATTGGAGCTCCTTTGTATGTTACTATCTGCCTCTCCCTTGATGTTTTAAGATTCTCTTTTTGTCTCTAAAAGTTGTCATTTTAATTATGATATGTCTTGGATCTGGCCTCTGTGGGTTCATCTTGAT